AGCAAGGCATGAAAACGGACCCGGAGCCCGCCCCTCTGTACCCTACACGGCACATCGAAGGAGAGCGTGGGGGCATAGGTCGTTTAGCCAATCTGGATTGTATCCATCCCTCGGAATGTTTGTGGTCTGCCCCCCGAAACCATAAAAGCTGTAGGCTTTGGCGTCTTTATGGTGGCACCCCTAGGATGGTGTGTGTGTGCGACGGTGTCGGGGTTGTCTGCTATCCCCCCCATGTCCCTGCATTGGAAACGGAAGGAGATTTACAAGTACAAGGCGCCATGAATTGGAGCACGAGGCTGGACAAGAGGATCCAGTTGGCTCTGGCCAGTTTTGTGGAGGAATATAGTAAAAAGGTAAAGAGGGAAGGAAGGAAAAGTAAGTTACAGTCCAGCCAGCTAGCTTGTTATGTGGGTGGGCCGGGATAACACATCGAAAGTGTAAGTTTTCCTTTACCCCCGATTCACATATATGTGGCTGTGCGGGCCGCGTTTTGCACGGACATGAAAGCCCATTCATTTGAATGGACTCCCATGCCTGGGACACGCAGCGAAGAAGTCCCGGCACTTCTTTGGAAAACGCAGCCCGCACGGTAACCTCGGTTCCCAGTATGGTTGCGTTTTCCACTAGAAGTAATGGCAGCAAGCACCCGCCCGTGGGCCCGCATTTCTCTGTGCGGGTGGTGCGGCAGCACGGATTTTCGTGCGGATCCCACAGCGGCACCACCCGCATACATGTGAACCTAGGGTTACAGAAAATCTGTAAGGTGACCTTACACTGGACCCCCTTCCCCATCCCTCCCCTGGTCCCGCTATAAAAGTGTCCCGCGATCTCCGCAGTCAGGTACCTGGAGGCCACTTCACTGATCTGGGGATTTGAAATCCCTGCGGCTTTCCCTCCTCTCCTCCGAAAACTGACAGGACGGGCTAGTCGTATTCTGATTGGTCAGCTCCATCCATGTGATGGTGCTGACCAATTAGAATGCTCTTCCATACGCTGAGGTGTACGGATAAGAGATTAAGCTGCAGAATTTCAGATTCATGATCAGTGAAGCGGCGTCCCGGTGCCTGACAGCAGACAGCTAACAAAAGCACAGGCACCAGGATGTAATTTCTAGCCAACATGGCGACCTGGGATTTGTCAAACCCTGTCATAAATGGGCACATGTAAGGGGACTCTTCTCAGCAGACCACCAATATAAGAGGGCCCTTCTTCATTGACTATCAGTGTAAGGGGTCCCTTCTCCATGAACCATCAATATACGAAGGGGGTCCTTCTGCCCTGACCATCAATATACGAGGGGGTCCTTCTGCCCTGACCATCAATAAACGAGGGGGGGTCCTTCTGCCCTGACCATCAATATACGAGGACGGGGTCCTTCTGCCCTGACCATCAATATACGAGGAGGGGGTCCTTCTGCCCTGACCATCAATATACGAGGGGGGTCCCTTCTGCCCTGACCATCATCAATATACGAGGAGGGGGTCCTTCTGCCCTGACCATCAATATACGACGGGGTCCTTCTGCCCTGACCATCAATATACGAGGGGGGGTCCTTCTGCCCTGACCATCAATATACGAGGAGGGGGTCCTTCTGCCCCTGACCATCAATATACGAGGAGGGGGTCCTTCTGCCCTGACCATCAATATACGAGGAGGGGGTCCTTCTGCCCTGACCATCAATATACGGGGGTCCTTCTGCCCTGACCATCAATATACGAGGAGGGGGGGTCCTTCTGCCCTGACCATCAATATACGAGGAGGGGGGGTCCTTCTGCCCTGACCATCAAATATACGAGGGAGGGGGTCCTTCTGCCCTGACCATCAATATACGACGGGGGTCCTTCTGCCCTGACCATCAATATACGAGGGGGTCCTTCTGCCCTGACCATCAATATACGAGGGGGGGGTCCTTCTGCCCTGACCATCAATATACGAGGACGGGGTCCTTCTGCCCTGACCATCAATATACGAGGTGGGGGAGGGGGTCCTTCTGCCTGACCATCAATATACGAGGGGGGTCCTTCTGCCCTGACCATCAATATATGAGGAGGGGGTCCTTCTGCCCTGACCATCAATATACGAGGGGGTCCTTCTGCACTGCCCTGACCATCAATATACGATGGGGGGTCCTTCTGCCCTGACCATCAATATACGAGGGGGTCCTTCTGCCCTGACCATCAATACGAGGTCCTTCTGCCTTGACCATCAACGAGGGGGTCCTTCTGCCCTGACCATCAATATACGAGGGGGTCCTTCTGCCCTGACCATCAATAAAACGAGGGGGTCCTTCTGCCCTGACCATCAATATACGAGGGGGGTCCTTCTGCCCTGACCATCAATATACGAGGGGGGGTCCTTCTGCCCTGACCATCAATATACGGGGGGGTCCTCTTCTGCCCTGACCATCAATATACGAGGGGGTCCTTCTGCCCTGACCATCATATATACGAGGGGGTCCCTGCCCTGCCCTGACCATCAATATATACGAGGGGGTCCTCTGCCCTGACCATCAATATACGAGGGGGTCCTTCCTGCCCTGACCATCAATATACGAGGGGGGGTCCTTCTGCCCTGACCATCAATACTACGAGGGGGGTCCTTCTGCCCTGACCATCAATATACGAGGGGGTCCTTCTGCCCTGACCATCAATATACGAGGGGGTCCTTCTGCCCCTGACCATCAATATACGACGGGGGGTCCTTCTGCCCCTGACCATCAATATACGAGGGGGGGTCCTTCTGCCCTGACCATCAATATACGAGGGGGTCCTTCTGCCCTGACCATCAATATAGAACGAGGGGGTCCTTCTGCCCCTGACCACCAATATACGAGGGGGTCCTTCTGCCCTGACCATCAATATACGACGGGGTCCTTCTGCCCTGACCATCAATATACGAGGGGGTCCTTCTGCCCTGACCATCATATATACGAGGGGGTCCTTCTGCCCTGACCATCAATATACGAGGGGGGGTCCGTTCTGCCCTGACCATCAATATACGAGGGGGTCCTTCTGCCCGACCAACAATATACGAGGGGGTCCTTCTGCCCTGACCATCAATATACGAGGGGGTCCTTCTGCCCTGACCATCAATATACGAGGGGGTCCTTTCTGCCCTGACCATCAATATACGATCGAAGGGGGTCCTTCTGCCACTGACCATCAATATACGAGGGGGTCCTTCTGCCCTGACCATCAATATACGAGGGGGTCCTTCTGCCCTGACCATCAATATACGAGGGGGTCCTTCTGCCCTGACCATCAATATACGAGGGGGTCCTTCTGCCCTGACCATCAATATACGAGGGGGTCCTTCTGCCCTGACCATCAATATACGAGGGGGTCCTTCTGCCCTGACCATCAATATACGAGGGGGTCCTTCTGCCCTGACCATCAATATACGAGGGGGTCCTTCTATCCCTGATCGCCATCAATTACGACGGGGGTCCTTCTGCCCTGACCATCAATATACGAGGGGGTCCTTCTGCCCTGACCATCAATATACGAGAGGGTCCTTCTGTCCCCCTGACCATCAATATACGAGAGGGTCCTTCTGCCCTGACCATCAATATACGAGAGGGTCCTCTATGCTGCCTGACCATCAATATACGAGGGGGTCCTTCTGCCCTGACCATCAATATTACGAGGGGGGTCCTTCTACCTTGACCATCAATATACTAGAGGGGGTCCTTCTGCCCTTGACCATCAATATAACGAGGGGGTCCTTCTGCCCTGACCATCAATATACGAGGGTCCTCTTCTGCCTGCTGACCATCAATATACGAGGGTCTTCTGCCCTGACCATCAATATACGAGGGTCCTTCTGCCCTGACCATCAATATACGAGGGTCCTTCTGCCCCTGACCATCAATATACGAGGGTCCTTCTGCCCTGACCATCAATATACGCAGGGTCCTTCTGCCCCCTGACCATCAATAATACGAGGGTCCTTCTGCCCTGACCATCAATATACGAGGGGGGGTCCTTCTGCCCTTGACCATCAATATACGAGGGCCCTTCTGCCCTGACCATCAATATACGAGGGCCCTTCTGCCCTGACCATCAATATACGAGGGGTCCTTCTGCCCTGACCATCAATATACGAGGGTCCTTCTGCCCTGACCATCAATATACGAGGGTCCTTCTGCCCTGACCATCAATATAACGAGGGTCCTTCTGCCCTGACCATCAATATACGAACGAGGGTCCTTCTGCCCTGACCATCAATATACGAGGGTCCTTCTGCCCTGACCATCAATATACGAGGGTCCTTCTGCCCTGACCATCAATATACGAGGGTCCTTTCTGCCCCTGACCATCAATATACAAGGGTCCTTCTGCCCTGACCATCAATATACGAGGGGGTCCTTCTGCCCTTGACCATCAATATACGAGGGGGTCCTTCTGCCCTGACCATCAATATACGAGGGGTCCTTCTGCCCTGACCATCGATATACGAGGGTCCTTCTGCCTTGACCATCGATATACGAGGGTC